CAAGGAGGAAGAAATCTATAAGAGTGAAAACCCTGTTGGGAACCTAGGATGATGTCTGATGGGACTGTACCCAAATTTTGATAATATGATAGGAGAAGAGAAGCTGGTTGGTCACTTTGTGTTTTACGACTACTTACGTATGAATATTCCAAGTTACTTTATTGAATAATTCTACTTATCCCGTTTTATATCACAGTGTCTATCATTAAAAGTGTTGTAATAGAGACTCTAGAGTTACAACTGTGATGGTTCATTCATCATGCTGTAGGGGATTGTTTAGTGGATTGTTTAAAAATTCCAACTTTTACCAACTACAACACTCTGCATCCAGAGGGTAATATGCAAGTGGCATTGACTCAGCAGTTCATTGTCTGAATGAAACTAGTTTCATAGAGTTTACTCAGATGGGTGGAGGGTCCTTTGGGCAATGTTTTGGGGGGAAAAAACAACAACAACAACCTGCCTCCCCTGCCTGAATAATGAAGATTCCTAGAACATTTACAAACTTAGAACTTGCCCCAGTTTCCTGGAAGCAAAAGATAATGAAGAGTTAAAGAAATTCTAACACAACCTTAAAATTGCTGATCTATTCTGGCTAGCCTTTCCTTCTTTCTCATTAGCCTTACATAAGTCAATTCATTTCTCCCCTATGCTATTTCTTTTCATTCAACTGTTTAATATGTTGTATTTTAGATGTACATAATAATCTCATTATTTCCTTGATCCTTCTCTATGTTTTTAATCTTAACACTTAAATCAGTCCATTCATCAACATGATATGAATTACTATTTCATGAATGACTCTTTCACTTTATGACTTTATCAATTACTTTTCAATAAGTTACAAATGTTTGCAGTTTATAAAAATAATGCTGCCACTATGTAAATCTGCTAATAACTAGACTAAATGATTCCACCTTTATAAAGTTGCACTCTTAAAATTTCATCAGCTACATTTGTATTAACTTGAAGAGGCCTCTATTCCAGTTGTAATCTCAAAATGTATGTATTACCCACTATATGTCAGGTATTGTTCCCAGAGCTTGGCTACCAGGCTAAAAATAATGTATTTACTGCCCCTGCTGTAGTTTAAGATCTTGACAGACAACCAAAAACTAGTCTTAAGTGATTTTACCACGGATGGAACTTTAAAGTACCTAAAAACAGATGCATTCTCTCTGAGAGCTCAGAGAGGTGGTTTTGTATAGACTTGAAGCCACTTATTTCTAAATGCATCACTTCACAGGGTCTGATTTTCAGATTTGAGCACCTAAGTTTAAATCTCTATATTTTAAGGAAATCTTTAAAAGGTAAGTGATATATGGTTAGATCTACAAGGTTAGGCTTACTGGAATTTAAGAAACTGGAAGGATGAAATTAATATTAACAAAAACAAATTTTATTCATGCCCCAGGATTTTCACATGACAATTTCCTCTTTACTTTTTTCTTCTACAAGCCCATTCCAAGATTTCATCACTCCATTCTTTGCTGTCATCTCTCAGACATTATCAATCTTTCTGATACATACACATTACTCCTCCTTCTACTCTTCCTGGCTTGTAGATGGATTGCTTCCATGTATGCTGACGTTCTAGTTATGACAACGATCCAGCCCTCCCTGTTACAGCTACCTCTGCCATTAGATCACTATCTCCTTCTTTAATACTCACTGCTAATTGTATCTGCTTATTTCCCACACATAATGCAAGATGTGGTCATTTTATTATTATATATATATATTTTACATCATTGTTCATTTTTAAATAATGTTTGCTTTCCCCCTTCCCTCAGGTGTAGTCCCCATAGAATTTCCTTCACCAATTCACCCGTGCACCATCACCTCAGTCCCCTGTGCTCTTCCTTCCCTCCCTCCAATCCCTCTCCCTCCATTATTTACCTCTTCTTTACCTATCTTATTTTTTTAATATCTGTACACAATGTTGATTTTACAAAGGACCATAAAGTACGTCTACAGGGAAACTAAAGGATGATATTGCTGGCATAATGATTTGTAATGTAATATTTGATTTGGCCATCCTCCCCTGCAGGATGTCTCTGGTTTTGTATTGTTATATTACTTTTTACACTGATATCTTATTTGGTTCCCCTATATTCTTGCTATAAGTGAAACCATCCGTTATTTTTCTTTTTCCTTCTGGCTTATTTCACTGAGCATAATTCCTTCTAGCTCCATCCATGTTGCTGTGAATGACATTAGTTTATCTTTTCTGATTGCTGAATAGTATTCCATTGTGTATATATTTCACATCTTCTTGATCTAGTGATCTATTTTTGGACATTTGGGTTGTTTCCAGGTTTTACCTATTATAAATAGTGCAGCAATAAACATAGGGGTACAGATATTCTTTTGAGTCAATGTTTTTGTGTCCTTTGGGTAGATCCCTAGGAGTGGAACTGCTGGGTCATATGGTAGCTCCATTTTTAGTAGACTGAGGAACCTCCAGACGGCTTTTAATAGTGGTTGCACCAGTCTGCACTCCCACCAAATGTGGTCATTTTAGTACTAGTTCATTCCTATTGTATGGTTATATGGAATTCTTTTGTATATTAATTCACGCTTTCTCTATAATTTCACTGCAATTTACCAGTATCTGCATATTTTATTCTGTGATTCTCCAGGTTGTTATTAAGGAAGCAGACATGTAGCAATCTTTAATTATTTCTTAAAAATTCTCAAGTTTCTCCCAACAAATGTCCCATAATGCAAATATTTATTTCCTCATTGGGACTGCAGGGCTATGTACAGGTCTGTCTTCCAGCATTAAATATATCTTTGTAGCTAGTTAGAGGCAATAGAGCCGGAAAACAAGTCAAGAAACAAGGCTTGTTCCCACTCTTCATTCAAAACGTCTTCCAACTAAAATGAGGACAGTATATGGCCAACTGCCTAATATAACCACGCACCTGACTGATGCCCTCTGCTGGTAAGATGATATCCGAAGTAGGATGGTTGGATTCCTGAGCCTCAATACTATCTCCATACATAATGGCCTGAGGACCTCTTAATTCCTTTTTTATTTATTAAATATTCTTGAGTCTTCTTTCTTATTCCTTCCTTTATTTCCCTCTTCTTTACCTCTTATTTTTAAATATCTTGTACACAATGTTGATTTTACAAAGGACCAGAAAGTAAGTCTACAGGAAAACTAAAGGATGATATTGTTGGCATAATAATTTGTGATGTAATACTTGATTTGGCCATAAAAGGATGTCATTTATATTTTAAAAAGGATAGGTATACTAGGAAAAGGAGAAAAAGGGCCCTGCATAGTCACAGGCAGGCAGTAGAGCTGGTCACTTGCCATTTCTTATGATAAGAAAACATGAGCATGAATGCATATAGGTGCTCTACTAGAAGAAAATATTTATTATTCAATATTACAATTGATTATAATTGATAAATGGGAGCCAAGATAAGTTGAGAAAAATTCTTTACAATTTGCTAACATTAGGATTAAGTACCATCTGTTAAAGAAAATGTAAATTTCATCTCCTCTAAAATTAGAAATGGACAAAGATGACCACTCAAACTCCTCCTTACTCACCAAATTCTGAATCTTATGTCTGAATCCAAGTGTTTCTAAAAAAAGACAATGCAGGGCCTCACTGGTGGTGCAGCAGTTGAGCGCTGGGTTGCGAAGCAGCCCGCAGCCTCTGCACCGCAGGTTTGATCCCCGGCCACTGGTGTGGGTCCCACATGGCTCGCAGACCTCTCCTGCCACCCGCTGCTCCCCTCAGCGTACTTTGTCAGTCTGCCTGCTCTGCTCTCCGCTCTGACTCTGGTGAATTCTCTCACCCTCCCGCACTTCTGACTGTACCTAGTGCTTGTATAAATAAATAAATACATCTTTAAAAAAAAAGTCAATGCAATATTTGTCTTTCATGAATATATCAATTGCTGCAGCAGTATTTCACTTAACATTCACCTGTGGCCTGAAAAAAGTTTATTACTGTTCTAAAAATCTTACTTCTGTAAATTCTATTCAAAAACTAGCATTTGATATCACTTCAGTATAATTTCTCAGAAATATAGGAAGTATGGTTATTTGTAATATCTAGTGATCTTTTAAAAAGGGGATATTTCTGTTTTTATTCTATAAGGAGGCAAATTTCTCCACCTGAAGTCATCACATATATATTCTGTGTTCCAGAAATGACTCTATATTAGAATTAAAAAATAAATTATGACTGAAACAAATTTAAACTATTATTATTCTCTTCATCAAAATGAATTTCCTCTGGAATTTTTTCACTCTACCTTTATTTTTGTACATACCTAGAAATTTAAGTGTAAAGTACAGAAGTAACCATTAACTTTCAATTGATAAACAAAAGGGCTCTTATGCAAGACTTGGAGAAAGTAAGAAGAGTCACAATTGTCTGAAATGTAGAAAAACTATTAGGCAAGAGTAAAGGTTGGAATTATTTTCTGTTTGGTTACAAAACAATTAGGGAAAAACCTACATCCACTAAATGAAAATGCAATAACTGTTCTCTGTTTCGACTTTGGTCCTTCTAGAGTCAATTCTCCTTGAAACGGTGTAAGTAATCTTTCATAAACATAATCATACTGTATCAGTCTCCTGTTCTTAAACATCTTGGCTTATATATAGCAGTAATTATCATGGTTTACGAAGTCCTATGGAATCTAGCTAGCCCTCATTATCTTTTCAACAGCATTTCCCCATGTCCCCATAACTCATTCATGTTTAAGATCAATCATGTCTGTTAGAGGAATTGGCAAAGCGCACGTTTGCTGGTGTTTAACCATTTGGGTTTTCCATAGAGAAGTGAGCAGTGCTAATTGTGGGTCGCACTGGATCAACATGATGATTGCCAGAGACAGAATCCAGCAACAGAAGTAAATGATATATAAACCTAACTCTCCAAGAGAGTTCTTACAGACATGCCAGCAATTCAGGCAGGACTTACTCTGCTGATGACATTCCACCAAAAAAACAGCCACGAAACACTTACCTGCAGCCACTATGATGATATCTGCCAGCTGAGCATGGATCTTCAGTTGTTCTTTGGGAGTATATCTGTGAGCTATTGTCACAGTTGCATCACCTGGAAGACCGAAGAACTTCCATTAATGATTACTGAGCTTTTCCAAGTTTTCTGAACACTCAATTTTAGTAGAGTTTCAGTGATATCCTAGGGATAGGAAAGTTGCTTGGAAATGATTGAATCACTTTAAGAGCAAAAGCTAAAGAAGGAAATCTAGATGACATTAAATAGTATATGCTTCAACTGAACCAGTGTAAAATCATATAAGAACAAATGAGGGTGAGTGTAGACCATAACAGAACAAAATCAGGGCTCTAGAAATCCAGGATTTGAAAATTCACTATTGATGGGTCACTACATAGGTACAGGGGATACTCATTGGCTTGCTAATCACACACATAGATAAACACCGAAGACAATAAGGTAAGCACACTGAAAACTGTCTTGTCTATGGTGGGAGCACAGACAAGAGAATAGCTTTGTCATAAAGAGGTGTCAAGGTTGGGCCTCCCCTGGTGGCACAGGTGGTTGAGCACAGTGCTGATGAGCTGTCCGCAGCCTCTGCAGCGCCGGTTTGATCTCGGCCGGCGGGCAAGAGTCCCACATGGCGCTGCAGACCTCTCCTGTCGCGCCCGCTGCTCCCCTCAGCAGTGTATTTCATCAGTCTGCCTGTTCTGTTCTCCACTCTGTCTCTGGTGAATCCTCTCACCCTCTCGCGCATCTGGCCTGTACCCCAGTTCTTGTATAAATAAATAAATAAATCTTTAAAAAAAAAAGAGGTATCAAGGAAGGGTTCTTACAGTGATTTTATTCATATGCTTGACAATAAGTACCTCTGCTACTGCATTTGTACTAGTGAACACCTTGGGCCTCCCTGTTGGTGCAAGGGGTTAAGCATAGCACTATGAAGCGATCCACAGCTTCTGCTGTATGAGTTCGATCCTGGTACCCTGCTGGCCAGGGAGCAACCCACATGGTGCAACAGACCTCTCCTGTCTCCACTGCTGCTCCCCTCAGCATTGTATTTCAGTCAGTCTGCCTGTTCTGCTCCCCACTGTGTCTCTGGTGAATCCTCTCACCCCCCCACTCCCCCCCCCCACACACCTTTGGCCTGTAACCCAGCTCTTGTATGCATAAATAAATCTTTTGAAAAAAAGTTTTTAAAGTAGTGAACACCTATGATTCTAACAGTTTAACAGGCTGGTATTTAGGAATCTTCCTTTTGTTTTCCAAAAGATGGCAGAGTAGCACAAGTATTTTTTCCCATTAAAACAAGAGAAGAACATATTATTTAGCCCAATTATTAGAAATCTGTTCCTTTTAGGAGCTAAAGTTTATCTCCTTTTTTTGCAATGTCTACCATGATTCTAAATCTATTTTTGATGGCAAGACATAACAAGTCTCAACTTCCTTTTCCATGAAACAAATATTCAAATACCTACTTATGCCTGCATCAGCAAGTAATGCAAAACAGCAGACCCAATAGGAGCTAGCAGGTTTTGCTTTGTCATTTTATCCAGAAAAAGGAAGACTTATCATTGCCAAAACATTAACTCATACCATAATCAGGTTAAAAGAGAAGTCACAGGAAGAAAGACTCAGCACTCATTAACATAACAGCACTGATGAAAAGAAGCCTGAGTTCTTAGTTTGAACAAGTACCTCCAGAGGCCTAAAGATTCTGGATTTGAATATATGTATATTTTTTCTACCACAGCTTCTATTGCATCTTTCAGCAAGAAGGAAGGACATAAGCATACAACAAGGCAATCAGATAAATAAATCTTCCTATGTAGAAATTCTCTGTGGAAGCCAAAATTGCACAGCCAAAACGGATGTGACTAAAACCCTTATATAAGAACTTATATGTCGGGCCTCCCCGGTGGCGCAGCGGTTGAGCGCTGGGTTGCGAAGCTGCCCGCAGCCACTTCAGCGCTGGTTGGATCCCCGCTATTCCCCGGCCACCGGAGGAGGGTCCCACATGGCGCGCAGACCTCTCCTGCAGCCCGCTGCTCCCCTCAGCAGTGTACTTCGGTCCTTCTGCCTGCTCTGCTCCCTGCTCTGACTCTGGTGAATTCTCTCACCCTCCCGCGCTTCTGACTGTACCCAGTGCTTGTATAAATAAATAAATCTTTAAAAAAAAAAAGAACTTATATGTCGCACATTCGTAGTACTTAATATATATATATATAAACTTATATAATCTTCTCAAAATACTATGAGAGTACTTTTTATAAGGCAGAAACTAAAATTATTTACATTTTACAAGTGAGAAAACTGAGGAGCAAATGTCCAATAATTTGTCCACGATGATACAAATGATAAAAGGGCCAGACCTCAGACTCACTTAGTCTAACTCCAGTGCTCAAGCTCCTAATCATTTCACTATACAATCTCCATATTGGGCAGAAAGAAAAAGAATTGTTGGAGTTCACAGTAATAAAAATTGAGTTAGCACACATGTGTTTTCACTGCTGTCAACTGAACAGCATTTCTGGGGTTAACATCCTGATTCTTTTAGGAAGCCATTCATAGTGTGCACTTCTTTTTCCTAACTGATAATTCTGCCTTGAGAATTAAGGACACAGTAGTACTGATACGAGGTCTGGTGACAGAAAGCACATGCACCTTTAATACAGAAAGGATGGTTTAACTTCTTTTTTTTTAACGATTTATCTATTTATGTATACAAGAGCTGAGGTACAGGTGTTGGAGGTGAGAGGATTCACCAGAGACAGAGTGGGGTGCAAAACAGGCAGACTGACTGAAATACACTGCTGAGGGGAGCAGCGGGCGAGACAGGAGAGGTCTGCTGTGCCATGTGGGTCAGCTCCCTGGCCAGGGATTGAACTCGTGTTGCATTGTCTGCGGATAGCTTCATAATGCTGCAAACTAACCCCTTGTGCCACTAGGGAGGCCCTAACTTTAATTTTCTTACCACATGTAAAATGACAGAGGCCTTTTTCACATATCTTAAAATAACACTGTACTCTTGACTCCTGAGTTGCATTTATTATGTCTTCTATTTTGATTTCAGCTCTTATTTCTGCATTAGGTTATTTAAATAAGTTTAGACATAGCTAAGTACACTCAGATCTGAGCCTTCTTTTCATGCTTAAAATGAACCCGACTTTAACATCATATCTAGTGAAGACCTGGCTATTCAGAGTTGCTTTTTATCAACCCTTCAATTATCATCCAAACACCTTGTGCCACTAGGTAAATTACAATTAAGAAATATGACTTTACTTTCAATTAGTCAAACGCCATTTGAAGCTCACTCCTTTAAAACATCTAACTCAGAATTCCTTTGAGATTAAGAAGATTAAGAAAGGCCTACTGAGTCTAGACCAGCAGAGTCTCTAGATAGTTTTAAAACCTGGGGAAGGCTATGGGGAGTACAATTAAGAGTGAAGATTGTATATGGTAATTTAGAAATGCCTATTGGTCTTCTAAGGAGAACTCTCATGTGGACAATCATTAAAATATAGGGTGTACAGACTACATGGTGGATATAGATGGTATTTCATACTATGGGGCTAGAAAATAGGTGTAGGAAATGACTATGGAAAAAAAATAAGCTTTGGGCTCATTTCAGTGTTTTGAACATTTGTCCTTATACTGATTACATTGGAACCTTCTATAGAGTTTTCTAAAAAGTACTGTGATTTAATTGTTCTGTGTTCTGTAAAGGGACAATATTTTTTAAAGTCCTCAGATGATTCCAATGGACAGTTAGGGTTGAGATTCACTGGCTTAAAAGTTAGAAGAGGTGAATGATCCACAAACTGAGAAATTGAGAAGAAATGTCTACTGAGATAAGGGAAATGATTGCCAGCCGTAGTTTCAATCTGTGCTTAAGCAGTAAGAAATACCCTATAAAATGTGGCCATTCCTCCTCCAGCTAAGCTTTTTACAGAAAGTTCTACTTCTCCTTTGTAGCACCTGGCACAATTACAAGGAGTTAATCATTCATGCTTAATTGTTTAATGACTGTCTTTCCTACCGGGCTATAACTCGAGAACAACGTATGATTGTCAATGGTCAAGAGGTCAATGTATGATTTATTTACCATCATATGACATACTTAGTGACAAAGAAATCATCCCCTCTGAAAAAAAGACAGTATTATGTATCAGCAGCTAAAAAAAAAAAAAAGTCAACTCAAAATGATAGATCCCCAAGGATCTACCAGGAAAACTGTACTCTCTTACTTAAACAAATTTCTTTCCTCTTTCCAGTTTCCTGAGGTTCTCTCTCCTCTTCCTGAACCATTAATGATGTGATTCTTGAAAGAAGAGATGTTTAAATTCTACTTTTATATAAATGCCTGTAATTTTAAAATAGGAATTAGCATGTGGTGATCACTTAACCACTTCTCTCCATCCTCCCCTTCCTGCCTGCCACACAGATATTTTTCAATAAATGACATTTTATTTAAAATCACTGTACTATGATCTTATTTTTTGAAATACTTGCACAGGGCCTGGCACAGAAGGGAAACTAAATAAACTTTGATTAACTGTCTAACTGGTTGCATTGTTATCAACTACTGCCACGTCCTGCGCTGCAAAAAAATCTAAGACGACAATGGAACTGGAGGGGATTGTGCTAAGTGAAATAAAAAGGCAAAAGACAAATACCAGAAGATTTCCTTTATATGAGGACTATAAAGAAACAAAGCAAAGAAACAAAGCCAACACAAAACAAAACCTAGAAATCTGACTGCAGAATGGAGACTACCAGAGGGAAAGAGTGGGGAGTGGGGGTAAAAAGGGGAGGGGGCTCCAATGGACAATGGTGAAGAGTTATGGGTGCTTTGGTGGTGGACATAGTGTGGTAATATAGCTATGAAGAAGGGTGGCCTATACCTCTAAGTCATATACAATGTTGTAAACTGAGATCACCTCAATAAAAAATTACTACAATTTTTTAAAAATGCAAAGGACAAAAGACTTGTTATTGAGAAGTTCATGTTCACTATGTGTAGAAAAGAGGAACAAGTAGACAATGATAGCCAATAATTGTGATGTACTGTGATGGCAGCATTAACAACATGCAAAAGTGAGGCAACCTGAGCTGCATCTTGAAAGATAAGAGGGACAGGGAAGAGAACCACAGAGTGATGGGAACTAGCATTCCATCCTCAGGGAACAGGATATTTAATGGCATGGAGGCATAGAAGAGGTGGTGTGTTTGGGGAAGCCTGTATATAAATCCATGGAGCTTCAACATAAGGTACCAGGGAGAAAGTGAGCCAGGGACTGGCTGAAAGGTCGGATGGAACAGATTCCAATATCTTGTGATATTGAACGATGAGGCTTATAGACATTAGAAAAGGGATGCTTTTTGCTGGTAGTAAAACAAATGGCTAGTATTCTAACATCATGGGAAATCAGAGAAAAGGAAAGGAAAGATAATGATCTAGACTTCATTTTATACTTTAATTAACGTTGAATGTTGGTTTCAACATTGTCAGGGTTCTGATGTGAATACACATAAGATTTCCTCAGAGCAGTGCTTTTCAGATACTAGTGGCTGAATTAGGAGACACTGAATATGGAATCGTGCTCTGATTATTTAGCTTGGAAAAGGAAACTAAAACAAGCATTTGCGCTTTTCTACCGCCTTGTACTACACAAACTCAAAGTTGTCATTTAGTAAAGTCCAATTAACAGAGGCATCACAGATCTCACAAAACAATATTCTCAATGTCTTGCCATGCATATTTTTAAAGTGGGGTATTCAGTGAGAGCAGCAGAGATCGCATGTCTGTAAACCACCCTGCCCCAATTTGGCAATGGTTGATTCCAAAGAGGCAGCAAATGTCCTATTCCACTCCACTGCCAACAAGGTTGAGTCTCAAGGCCAGTCACATGATAGCTTTGTGCAACTTCTGCATTCCAAGGTGTTCCTGTTTAGCTCCTCTCTTTGAAACCTGACCATGCCCGCCCAATCTGGCACTGGGCTGAGCTTAATCACACACACCACTCACATGGTGCTGCACTGTCTCGATCACCCACTCTTGTATTACTACCTGAAGCCGCCTCCTGGAGGTGGGTAATAATGCTCCCAAGTTGGCAGAAATGTTCATTTCTACAACTGTGGCCAACTTTCACAAAGGAAAGGTGTTTCACTGGCATATTGTCTTGTAGTTTTCAATTTAGAAAGGATATCCCTTGTATAAAAAAGCCCTGAAAAGTTGCAGCTTCAACACAAAAACTGAACACCAATGCAAAAGCAGTGCTTTGAGCAAACAGTCCAAAGGTGAATCCTGAAGATGCAGACTCTCATTTTCTGGAAACAGAGGACTACGTCTTTTCCACCACTGTACATGCCAGTGTTTCCTAGCGAATAAGCACTGAATGAAAACTGCCTAAATGGAATCAAGATCATCCTTGTAAGCAAAACCAGCAGGTTGCTGACTCTTTCAAAATGATCTTCAAAAATGTCCCAGTATTAATGCCACTGTTTTTAGTTAAAGGAGGAGCATGTAGTAAAATCCACAAATGGATCGTTAGGACTGTGACTCTTGTCAACTAAAGAAATACAATGTGAGCAGAATACTCAACATTGTGAGTGTCATTAGAACAAGTTCTGTAGATATGAACAGGCTAAGTTAATTCCCCATTATATCCATTAGCTAACAATGCATATGTAGTCACTGCACATAATTACTGTTCTAACAGACATGGACATTTGAATTATTAACTTCCCCACAGACTCCAAATCTTCAATAAGTAGTTCTCAACAATTCATTATATTAATCATTTATGTTACCACACTTGTTAACTATGCATGAGATTAAACAACTCTGTGTTGCAAATTGTCCAACAGCATTTTTAATATAATTTGTTACCTTTTAGATATTGTAATTATAATGGTAACTATATGTGCTGCTATATTAAGTTTAAATTTAACCACCAGATTTGTAATTATCAGTACAATAACAATTCAATTTTCAACATGTAATCAAGTGAGAATATTTTATAACATAAAGTATAAAATACTTAGAAAGTTAATATATTTTATAAATTCTATCAAGAAATTAGCATATCTTTTGATATTCACAAGAAAAAGTGCAAAGTATGATTCAGTGAATTATGATGTCATATTTCTAATCAAACACTTTATATTTGACTTGACTTATATTTATAGAATTGGTAAACTCAATGTTTATGGAAATTACCACAGCAAAGACCAAATTTGACCCCAAAAGGCAAAGTCTATCAGAAAAAGCAAGTGAATTGTAAAAGTTGAAGTAAAACTTTATCAATGCCATGAAAACTGTGTTTCTACCACCAGATTTGAACTTTCAAATAGTTCCTTAAAATTAAGGTGTCTTAAAGTTTCTAGAGTTTACCATCAGAGCTTTCTTTACTATGAGTTACCTGTAAATTCTGATTTCTGGTACTATTTAATTCTTTAGGCTTAGGAGGGGAAAATAATATGTAAGAGCCTAATAATTCATCATTTTAGATACATGATATGCAATAATGGAGCTTATTTTTCCATAGTGTAATGTGGTTTAAATAAATTATTTCATATGTACCATGTCAACCAAGATCCTAAAATAAGTATTTGAAAATTTGGAACTCACTAAAAGATCAACACTGGAATTCATTAAAGTTAATAATTATAAGAAATTATTTTATACTGGTTTTGTGCGTGTGTGAGAGAGAGCACAGCATGTGATTTTTATGATGTATTACTGATTTAAAGAAAATATATAGACTCAAAGAAGAGAAAATAGGAACAAAGGAGCTATACATTTCTAGTAACTCCTTTATTCACTTTCAAAGCATTCATGTCATTAGACGATGAATAAAGGAAACAATCATTTGCATAAACCTCAAAATATTCTAAGTCATATTTTCAAACATCTTTACTTAATGATCTTAAGAAGCAAGAATATTATAAAAATACACAGACTCTCCAAGTCCTACCTACCTCCTGGTCGTTCATGCTCTCCATCAGTGTGCAGAAGCATTGCAATAGGCATCCCCACATTCTTGGATCTTCCAGCCACTACCACGTTTTTCCCAAATGTTTCAATTCCTTAAAATACACAGTTTGATTTGAATGAAAAATTAACAAGAAGGAAATTAAACATTTGAAGAGCCAACCAAAACATTCTTTAAAAGCCTCCAGCTAAATTTGAATTATTGGTTGTCCTGTCTATAATGTGCCCACATTATTTAAAAATATTTCAGTTTATCATCTATTCTCTGACTATGACCTCATTAAAGACCACAAATACTTTTACATTGCCATTAAATTACTTTTAAACATTAAGCTTTGCATTAAAAGTTGGAAGCACAGAGACTTAAAATATATTAGAATAAATACTAATTATAAATTAACTACTGCATAATGGGGTCAAACTTAACTGTCGATCAAACTGTGAGCAACTCTGCACAAAATGAAGTGCAAAAAACCTGTTTCACCAAATTTATGCATGTTAGTCCATATGAGAAAAGCAGTAAACTTATGGACTTAGAAAGGTATGGAAGATAAACCTTGCAGATTTAATACTCTTTACCTCTTTTGAGTATAATTTCTTCATAAGAAAAATAAAGAAGATAGAATTACGGTATTTCTATATACTTTCTAAGAGTATGATTCTAGAACCTGTTTTCCCATTGGAAGTTTTCTTTTTATTATGGTTAGAAAACAATATATTAGAAAGGAGATGATAATGCCAGAACGAAAGTGACAGTAATGAAAGCAGGGGAACCATCAATCTAAAAGTCAAAGTGGAGTCAATTAATTGAGTAGGACACTTTAAGGGTTTATGAGAAAACTATTTAGAACACAATTAAAGCATAGGTGTTTATCATGAAAAGCTAGGTCCTAAAAAGATGATTCAAATATGTTCAGCACATTTTGTTTTTAAAGGTAGGGAAAAAGGGCCTCCCTGGTGGTGCAAGGGGTTAAGCACCACACTGTGAAGCAATCCTCAGCCTCTGCAACACGGGTTCGATCCCTGGCTGGCCAGAAAGAAACCCACATGGAGAGGCAGACCTCTCCTATCTCGCCCGCTGCTCCCCTCAGCAGTGTATTTCAGCCAGTCTGCCTGTTCTGTTTCCCACTTTGTCTCTGGTGAATCTTCTCACCCCCTGCATCTCTGGCCTGTATCCCAGTTCTTGTATGATAAATAAATAAATCTTAAAAAAAAAAAAAGGTAAGGAAAAATTAATACATATTGGGAAAATGATATTAAAATACATTGTTTAAAGTTCAAAAGTAAGGAGACAAATCTACTATTTGAAAAATTCATTGATTACAAGATGCAAATCAGTTACATGTAACCTGGGATGTATTCTTTATTTTGGAATGTTCTTTGACTTCTATAACTCTCTGTCTCTATACAGATTGAAGTTTTATATTTTATCATATTCTTAAGAGAACTGAGCTGGTTCCACGTACAAATGCTCAGCTGGACACTTACCACCCCTAGCCCATATACCAGAAGTTACCGACCTGTTCTTTTGAGGATTTCCCAAACAGCACAGGCAGTGGCAGGTATGAGACAATGCTGATCAAGGCACAGTCTTCCCATATTGATGATATGAAATCCATCCACATCTTTTTCAGGGGTAATTCCATTGCATACAGTTCGCTCATCCACATGGTCTAAAAAGTAAATAAAATTAATTCAGTTTTACAATTATTATTAATATCAAAATCCAGAAAAAGAAATCTGAGGGCTATAGCAAGATCACTTACGTCAGTTTTAATAAAAGTGTGAAAGCATTACACTTAATTTTCTTGCCACCAAAAGAGTAAGCCAAATTGTTCTTGCCTGATGGAGATAATTAACTATGGTAACAGTGTATGTAATTACAGGGCTAGAAGTGACAGGTCTGGTAAGATGGAAAATTTTGTGAAATAAAAAATTTATCAGTTAGATCTAGGAACATTCAAGTAATAAGTCTTTGTCTTAATAAGTTTTCAAACTTAGAGGGTTTAAATGTATATTTTTCCTCTCTAAGACATTTTTTGAGTTGAACTTCTATTAAATATTTCTATCATGATGAATTAAAAGGTCTTTGTTAATGTGAAAATAGTCATACCATCATTAGTGCTTATATTTCTACTGATGACATAGCAAAAAAGCAAGTAACACACACACACACACACACACACAAATTTCCACCTGAAACACTAGCACAGGGGAATCTAAAATATCATTGTGGTTTCCTATTTGGAAGAAAAAGAACATAACTTGAATAATGAGTTAAATGAGAAATGAATGACAATCATCTCTTTCTGAAAAATAATACATAAATATAAGTATTCTATGCAGAATACTTAGATTATCCTAAATCCAACAATTAGCTCATGTACATAGCACACTGAAATAAAATTGTAATTGCAACATAATGTTTCTTTGCCCATACACTATGGATGCCATTTAGATATATTAGATATGTATATAAACCTAAACATAAAAGCTAAAACGAACATCTAGGTGAAAACTTAGAATTTCTGTGCTAGGTATATTTTCTTAGATCATAAGAAACATAAAACATTAGAAGAAAAAAAGATCAATTTAGATTTCAGAAAAATTAATCTTACATTCATCAAATCTTATGCTTTCTTAAAGATACCTTTAAGATATCTTTAAGATACCTTTAAGATATCTTTAAGAAAGCAGACAGGCAAACCAAAGATTGGAAGAAAATATTTACAAATCAGGCATTTGACAAAGAACTTATTTCCAGAGATATATAAAGAACTCTCAAAGCTCAATCATCTCAAAATAAATAATTCAGTTTTTGAAATGAACTAAATAATTAAACAGGCACTTTACAAAGGAAGGTAATCAAATGAGCAAGATGCATGTGAAAAAAATCAGATCAGTGGTGCCTGATGGGGAGGATGAAAGTCAGGGACAGGGATTAGGTGACAAAGGACAGTAAGGCAATCTTCAGTTGATATTCTGTATTTTCACATGAGCTTAAGTACATGGGAACTTAAATTTTTCAAAACTTTATGGAATAATACACTTAAGATATGTTCATTTCAATGCATCTGAAATGCATGAATTTAGAGCTAACATAAATTATTGATACAAATTTCACATAAAAATGTAAATCTTGTAACTCATTGAAATTTTGGGGTATATTATGTTCTTAACTCTGAATACCACAAAAGTAATATAGATTGACAAATGAATAAATGGATAAATATGTAACAAAGCATGTAGAACAACATGTAAACAATTACCAAATCTAGGTTAGGGGCATATGGGTAGTCACTGTGCCGTCTTTTAACATTTCATAATAAAATGTTGAGGCGGAAAAACAAAACTACATCTTACCCTCAATATCCCAACCCTCTTTACTATACTTTTTTCTTTTTCCTTCCATAGCATATGAACTTCTAGTACAGATATTTGCTTATCTAGTACTGTTTTTTTATAGTCTGTCTCTACTATTATTCCACAAGAGCAGAAACCTTCATCTTTTTTTCACTGATATAATTCTAGCATAAAGAACAATGCCTGGAATACAGGCATAGTGGAATATACTTATTGAATAAGTGACTATGACTGCTCCTGATTTATAGATAAACTAAAACAAAATTAGAGGACAAACGGGGACAATAGAATAGGTTGTCATAACAAAATGATGTCCTATCCATCAACTTTCAAAAACATAATGAAAAACCAAAGGTTGCTATCACTGAAATCTTGACTTGTCTGTATCTCTGCATCTACATTATTAGATACCTGGCACTATTATATCCTGTGACAAACTTTAATGGAAAAGATTTATGTTTGTTTGTTTTTCAGTCCTTTCAGGACTTGAAAACCAGACATTTCAGGCAAAGTTTTAGGCTAATAGTTTCAGTTCACATTCTGAGTATGAACATAGGCCCTTGAAAATTCATATATTCACACAATAAATTATCTACTGCTTTTCTACATCATGCCCAGTACTGCTCTAGGGAATAAGGTATACAAGTGAACCAAATAAAGTTCTTAGCCGCTGCAGTTTATAATCTAATGGAATAAATGCAAGACTAAACAAATTATTTAGCTATAGCCTCTTAAAGAGTTAACTGTTTTTGAAAAGCAAATGACAGAGAGAGAGTTTTGGAAGCTGTGTTCATTGTTCTCAAGCCAATAAACAATACTAAGTTACACCCTCCGGGTTCTACACTATGGTTTCAAAACAAAAAATACTTATCAGGTTCCTATCACTTGCCCAATATCATTTAAGAGTTGTTTCATCATTGTGGAGTAAGGGGATGAGGAAAACACTCAGACAAGTGTGTTATTCTAAATAAGCTTCTTTTACACACGAAAAAGAGACGCTGTGTTTGTGGGACTCTGCTTTCAAACTTCTCAGAGGCAATCAGTCTCAAATTGTTTTCTAACTAAACCTTTCTTTCCCCAGTACCCCGAGCAGAGTTATATATAGATAGAATTTAAGGGGTATATTTGTTGGAATAGTAAATAAACACATAGAAGTCTTGGTGAAAGGGTTTCTCTTTGAAAACTTTAATAATCAAGATGTTCCAGTGTCTTCTTGCATGTACTATTTCTGACAGGAAACCTGTTCCTTCTTTTTATTCCTCTGCATGTCACGTAATGTTTTTTCCCCTTCTGCTGCTTTTGATAGTTAATAGTTTTTCTATCACACTGATTTTGAACAATTTGATTATGGTATTCTTTTATATAGTTCTCTTCATGTTACATTGAGTTGGAGTGTGTTGAGTTTCTTTGATCTGTGGATATATAATTTTGGCCAAATGTGTTTTTTAAATATAAAATCTGTCACTGATAAAGAATACTTGATTATGTAAAGCTCTACAAGGATCTCATTTTCCTCCTTGTAATATATAACCATCTGTAACACCTAGAATCTATGAAAACTGCAGTCAAGAGTGGAGGGGGCACAGTAGCTTTTAACCATCTCTGTCCAGCAGTAACTCAAAGAAAAGTCATTTCCCCTCACACTGCAGTGACCAGTATTCACATGGCGCTAACCTCGGTACTAACGGAAGCTGAGAATTGTGAATAGTTGGAGAACTTTGTCTGACATAGTAAAAAGCAGATATGAATAGAGAATAACAGAATTAAAATTACTTCAGATGGTATGGCCTGGGAAAGGTTCTCTAAGGTAGTTGTGTTTTAATACCTGAAGCATGGAAAGAAGTCAGCCCAGGTATGTTGGAAAAGTAAACAATGTAGTTAAGAGATCAGAGGCCAACGCCCTATTCAGATAATAAATGTGCATTTTCCTAGCATGCCCTCTTTATGTAAACACTTTAGTTATAGGAAGCTTTCAAGGATAAGATCCCCACAACCTCAATCAGTGATAGTTACTCACTTTGAAGAAGAAAAATATAGAAGAATGAGACTTGAATAACAACAATAACAAATGAAGTGGCTGAGAAACTATGGAGTCTATTCATTCTTTCAATAACATTCACTAAAAGTTTGCCATGATACCAAGATGGATTTCAGATTATTGACCACAGTTCTCCCTGCTTTAAAGGAACCTCCTTTCTACTGGAGGAAACATTAAGAGAAAAATTAATCAAATATTTTATGTGAGCTTGCTCTGAACACAAGAACTGGGGTTCTTCCCAAAAAGAAAGGGGATGCTATAACAAAGGTTAAATCAAATTTTATAAATAAATAAAATATCTTACAACAAACATGAGGGAGTCTAGAGTAATGAAAATTTCATATTCTGATCAAGAACATTAAAATTGAGTAGTAAGTATTCTTCGTACGTGAAGAATTTGGATTTGGGTCTTGGCCCCATGATCACTAGCAATTCATATCACCTCTCTGTGCTTTAGTCTCTTCCTCTGTAAAATGAAGAAGATATTTCCGCTCAAATGATTATTTTGGAGATTAAATAAAATCACCCATATAAAGGAAAACCCACCACATAGTAAGCACATCTTACTAGCTAAGGCTGATACGGTGGTGAGAGCCCTAATTTAATGTTTCATTGGAATGGCATGAGCGACCAGTCTGCCTGTATTAACATCCTAATGTAATTACTTACCAGCTCTGAGACCTTGGGGGAAGTTATTAACCTTCCTGTGCCTCAAACACCCTCCCAGGAAAATGTACTTAATAATTTCTCCAACTCTACAGGATTACTATGAAATTTAGTAAGTTCATAAATGTAAAGTTCCAGAGACATAGGCAATTCTCAAAATAAATGGTAGCCACTGTTATTTTTTTTAATCTTACTGGCTTTTCAGCTAGATAAGAAATTGTTCTTTCTCTGAGCAATGTGATATTTGTTAGCTCCAAGGTCCCTTTGGCTCTAAAAATGAGCACAGAACATGGCAATTTAATAAAGATAGATCACTAGTGCCATCTAGCGGATGATTGCTAATAAAGTCAACCAAATGTAGCCCTTAAATTCAAATGTGAAAATAATATTTTAAGACATATAAATTCTATAATATTTAAGACCAAATTTAAATGTAATTGTCTGGGAATTTATGACATGTTTGAAATAATTTTTCTATTCATATAAGTGTAAGTGGGGGAAATTTCAAAAACCATGAACTATAAGAAGATGCACTTTCTCTTAACCAGACATATACAAGGGCATTATCATGTACCTGGCAGAGGTAGCTGAACTAATATACCACTGACTCTCGGGTCCATGTTCAATTGATCAGTTATATCCAACAGTTCTTCTTGAGAAACATCGTTAGGTTTTAGAATGACCTCACTACAGATACCTGAAAGGAAAACACAGAAAGTCACTTGACTAACAAAGAAAGATTTTTCATGAATGGTAACACACAGGGTATGACTGGTTTCCTGTGTTCCTGATCCACTGAAAGGAAAGAAAGGCTCTTCTACTAAAATGATGCTCAATGAACCATCAGGAGGGATTTGTCAAATAGAACAAATGCTTTCTTGTGATTGACATGCATTTTGTGGCCCAGTATCCCACGTGGCAAATCGCACTTATTTGTGATAAGTTACTGTTAGTAGATTTAAAGAGAGTAGAAATACCACCAGCACCACCAGCACCATTAGGCCAAGTTTGACAAATTGAACAAGCCAGGTTTATCATAGGATTAAAGCAAATGTAATAAAGACAACACTTTAACTGCAAAGCATGGTGGTGAAGTCTCAGCTCTATCAAGCTATCACCAGCCACTGGCACGAGTTCAATCCCTGGTCAGGGAGCTGCTCACACGGCACAGCAGACCTCTCCTGTCTCACCCACTGCTCCCCTCAGCAGTGTATTTCAGTAGATCCGCATGTTCTGCTCCCCACTCTGTCTCTGATGAGTCCTCTCATCTCTGTACCTCTGGCCTATACCCTAGTTCTTGTATGCATAATGAAATAAAATAAATCTTTAAAATAATATATATAAATGTAAAGTGCTTCTCTCACCATAGGACCTGAAATCACACAGAACTGTATCTCTGGAAAAAAATTAAGAAGAAAAAAATGAAAATAAATATAAACTTAAGTAGCTAAATAACTATAGTAATACATCTTATCCAAATAGCACTTATTTGACAATTATCACTCATAATATTATAAGTGACACTTTGAAGTAAAGTCAGAAAACATGACTTAAAATCTGGTAGAATTAAACATCCCCACCTACAGCAGAGGCAGCTCTGATCTTCTTCCTGACGTATGTATGGCTCGCCAGGTTATCACCCACTAAAATGATGCTGAGGTGAGGTCTTCTGTTCCCCAGGGAAATCCATGAATCCACATCTCCTTGTATTTCTTTCTGGATTTTTTTAGCCATTTCAGTTCCTGAGATAATAATGGCATCATGTCTATGAAAAACAAGAGAATAAATGTAGCACTAAAAATAATAATTTTTAACCGCATAAATTTATGACACAAAAATGAACAGACTATCAATGATTCTCCAAGCGAGCAACCAAAATTCATGTTTGTCAAGTATATTTGACACCCATTCTTCAGGCTTACAAAAATATTTCATAATTTGTGAAGGCTATCAACTATGATTTTCAGTTCTATATTATAATTTATGCTATTTATTACTTGATAACTTTTGTATATATTTTAATTACACAAACCACATACTCAAGATTTGTAGGAGCTCTGCTATTTTTTCAAAAAAGGCCATGTCTAGTTAAAACCAGCACCCATCCTCAATGTCCCATGCTATGCTGTATGTAAGTCTCATGATGCCAAGACTAAGTCAATTCACGCTCAGTTGACATATCCTACAAAAATCCTGAAGTCAATCAAGATGGAAGAAAACAATATCCCATGGCCTGGACAGCTCCATGACAACAACTTTCCATGATTGTTATTGATTATGGTGTGGACTAGGTCAACAAGCAGATGGTTGCTATTCCCACACCCATGGCATCACGGTTAATGCAAACACTTTGCACAAAACATTGCTTCCTCACAGATTGTAAGTACTTAAGGAGATAAATTATGCTATATTTTGATAGATGACATAAATCTATCTCTGGAACAACACAAAGAAATGCTTTCTGAAAAAGTTTTTCTGTTCTCCATGAAGTCAACCTTAAAAGTTGTGTCTTATGTGTCCCTTACTGTCTGTCTATTTCTTAAATACACCTGATAATGTATCAGACAGTTTCTTCTTTCTGTTGCCCATCCTTTCAATACTGAAAGGTCCAGGGCCTCCCTGGTGGGGCAAGGGGTTAAGCACAGCACTGTGAAGCTACCCACAGCCTCTGCAGCACGAGTTCAATCCCCAGCTGGACAAGGAGCTACCCACATGGCACAGCAGACCCCTCCTGTCTCGCCCGCTGCTCCCCTCAGCAGTGTATTTCAGTCAATCTGCCTGTTCTGCTCCCACTCTGTCTCTGGTGAATCCTCTCACCCCCTACACCTCTGGCCTGTACTCCAGTTCTTGTATGCATAAATAAATAAATCTTTTTTAAAAAAAAGGTCCCAAGAAAGCAAGATCTGTAGCATATGATTATTATACAAATGCCAAATTTAGATCATTGAATATTGTAAAGGAGAGGAAAAGGAGGAGAAAGAAAGGCCAGGACAATAAAGATAAAGGAAAATCTTATAGCATTTTAATTTTTTCTAGTACCTGTACACATTTTATTTTTTAAAGTGAAAGACATCAGGAATATCAGCCAAAACACAAAATGAAAACTTGCTGCCCCATCCAAATAAGTCAACTGCTCTGTAATAAGGTTGGTATATATTACAGGTAGAAGCAGATCAAGAACACTCCATTTCGGTGTCATACCAGTGGTCCATCCAGGCTCATACAATTTTGATGTAAGTCATGTTCTGCTAAGAAGTAATTTCTAAATGTGGTCTATGGATAAGCATACACCAAAATTTCATGAGAAGCTTGCTGGAATTGCAGACTCCCAGACCCCATGACTGCACCACTATTCAGAATTCCTAAGGGGGTGAGTCAAGGGACCTGCCCATCTAACAAGTTCCCATAGGTGATTCTTGTGCTGGGCCATGTTTGAAAACCACTACTTCAGTTCAACACAAAAATATATTTTAATATATTTTAATAATAAAAATATATTTTAATAATAATTATGAGTAGATAATTAATGAACAAATAAACAGATGAGATAAAATAATTAAATCTAGAAACAATTTAAATAAATTCTACTTTTTTTTTTTAAAGATTTATTTATTTATTTATACAAGCACTGGGTACAGTCAGAAGTGCGGGAGGGTGAGAGAATTCACCAGAGCCAGAGTGGGGAGCAGAACAGGCAAAGGACCAAAGTACACTGCTGAGGGGAGCAGCGGGTGCAGCAGGAGATGTCTGCACACCATGTGGGACCCTCGACCATGGCTGGGGATCACACCAGGGCTGCAGAGGCTGTGGGCAGCTTCGCAGCCCGGCGCTTAACTGCTGCAACACTGGGGAGGCCCAATAAATTCTACTTTTGATTCTTCACTAAAATCTATAGTTTTCAAAGACACGGCAGATAATGGTAAATTCATTGTATCAATCTTGCTACACTGTTATATGTCTTTATTAAAGTATAATTGACATAATACATACATATAATTTTGTTATACATATACATATATGCTTTAATATACGGATTACTTGGGAAACCTACATTACAATCAAGAAAATGAATGTATCTATCCCTTGAAAGTTTTCTTATAATCTCATCATTCCACCTATAGATATGTAGTCTATCTCTGCTATGCCCCTCATTCCTTAATTAGCAACCACTAATCTGGGTTCTATCACTATATTTTAGTTAATTACTATCATGAACTTTATAGAAAATGAACTCATGCACTATAACCTCCACTGTCACCAGTTACTTCCACTCAGCATAATTATTTTGATTTATTCATGTTGTTACAAATAGTTCATTTATTTTTATTGTTGAGTAGTTTTCCATTCTATGGATGTACCAAAATTTATCTGCTCAAGTTTTATTAATATTTGTGTTACTTCCAGTTTCTAGGCTTAACAAATAAAGCTGCTATAAATATCCATGTATAAGCATTTTGTGCACATTCCTTGAGCAAACATCTGGGAGTAAAATGACCAGGTCATATGGTAAATATATGTTTAAATTTGTAACAACAAAACAAAACAGCCTCAATCTGTTTTCCAAAGTGATTGCATCATTTTACAGCAGCATATGAAAGGTCCAATTGCTCCACATACTCACCATCACTTAGTATGTTTAATTTTAACTTTTAGACATGCTAGTGGCTATCTGATAGTATTGTGGTTTGAATTTGAATCCCCTTAATGAATAATTATGTTGAGTATCTTTTAATGTGCTTATTTACACTCTGCCTAACTTCTTTGGTGAATTCTGTAATTTTATCTTGTACTTATTGTTTACTAGGTTATTTTCTTACTATTGAGTCTAAGAGTTCTTTGTGTATCTTAATTTGTCCTTTGTCAGACATATGATTTGCAGTATTTCTTCCTAGTTTTTCTTTTCAGTCTCTTGGGTATTTATAAGACCACTTCTTAGTTTTGATGAATTTCAATCAATTTTGCTTTTATGGATCAAGTTTTTGGGATTGTTTATAAGAAATCTTTGCCTAACTCAAGGTCTCAAAGGTTTTCTCCAGTTTCCTTCCAGAAGTTTTTTGAGTTCAGGTTATAAATTTAATTCTATGATTAATTCTAATCCTAGTTTGATGAGAATTTATATCTGTATACTATGAAACTTTTTCTGTGTCTAATAAGATGACTACATTATTTCATTTGGATAATCACATTGATTGATTTTCAAATGTTAAACCAACTTTGCATTCCTGGGATAAGTCTCACTTGGTCATGATGTATCTATCCTTTTCAGATATTATGTAAAATGATAACCCATAATATCATGCATCTATGTGCATGAGAGGTATTTGTATCTTTCTTTTCTTGTAGTATCTTTGTATAATTTTAGTATCAGGGTAAAGCTGCTCTCAGAGGATGAATTAGGCAATATCCCATCCACTTCAAGTTTCCAAAAGAGTTTGTGTGGAATGTAGTATTTCTTTCTTAAATGTATGGTAGAATTCACCCATGAAAACATTTGCTCTTGGTGTCTTCTTGAAGCAAGGGTTAAATGTAAATTATTTAATACAAATTTAAATTATTCAATATAGATGTTCAGGTTACCTATTACTTCCTGAGTGAATATTTGTGGTTTGTATCTCTGTATTAGTTCATAATTACAATTATAGACTAAATCAAGTTAAGATAAAACACATTTCTTTTTGAGTTTAAGTTTTGTTTTCAGGGTACCACACGATCCGGCAATTCCACTCCTAGGGATCTACCCAAAGGACACAAAAACAGTTATTCAAAAGAGCACCTGTACACCTATATTTATTGCAGCACTACTTACAATAGGTATAACCTGGAAACAACACAAATGCCCAAAAATAAATGACTGGATCAAGAAGATGTGGTATATATACACAATGGAATATTATTCAGCAATCAAAAAAGATAAACTCATGTCATTCTCAGCAACATGGATGGAGCTAGAAGGAATTATGCTCAGTAAAATAAGCCAGAAAGAAAAAGAAAAATATCGGATGGTTTCAGGAATATAGGGGAACCAAATAAGACATCAGTGTAAAAATAATAATAATAATAACAGTACAAAACACAACAAAGCAAAAACAGACAATTATAAACCAGAGACATACTACAGGGGAGGAAGAGGGAGAGTGGTGAGAGAGATGGAAGGAGGAGCACAGGGGACTGTGGTGACGGTGCACGGGTGCCTTGGGGAAGGAGATTCTATGGGGACTCAATCTGAGGGGGTGGGGGGAAGCAAATATTGTCTAAAAAATGTAAAAAATGATAAATGTTAAAATAAAAAAAAAAACCAAAAAAAAAAAAAAAAAACCAAATCCTGGGTTTCCAAAGAAAGAATCTATATACATATTAAACTTGACTACACCTTATATGTTGGGCTCTGAGAGAGTGATTTAACATTATAGCACCTGGACCTCCCTGGTAGTGCAAGGGGTTAAGAAGCAACATACGAAGCTGTTCACAGCCTCTGCAGCACTAGTTCCATGCCCCAGCCGGCCAGAGAGCAACCCACATGGTGCAGCAGACCTCTCCTGACTTGCCCGCTGCTCCCCTCCGCAGTGTACTTTGGTCAATCCATCTGTTCTATTCTCCACTCTGTCTCTGGTGAATCTTCTCACCCCCCACACCTCTGGCCTGTACCCCAGCTCTTGTATGCATAAATAAATAAATCTTTAAAAAAAATAACATTATAGCACCAAGGTGCTAAGTCATCTTGCTAATTATAGTCTGGACTGGTTGGTTTAACACCCATAAAATGCC